TATACACATTCAACATTGCACATTTCAATTGTTCATTTGTACATTCAAATTTTTAAAGATTGTACTTTATATATTTTTTTTAGTAGAAGCAGCCCGAGAGGCCCTGAACGCACCAAACACACAGCAATAAGACTAGGGATGGGGATGGAAACCCGGTTCTATCAAGGACCCGGTTCCACTTTTTTCAAAACCCGAAAATCAATAACGTTTGGGCTTATTATCGATACCACTATCGAGTCTGGTTGTTTTTTTTAATTACAATAGTAATTGTGAAATCCGTGTTGTAATCGGCAGCATACAAGCTAGTTAGCTTGAAAAGTAAATAAAGTTTCAGACGTTTCAGATTGGCTCAGTAAAACGACAATTAGGTTATCATGATGCGTTCAAGTGTAACGTAAAGAAAAGGGAAATTGAGTTTTTGGCGAGAAACATGAGTAATACAGTTGTATATTGCGCTAATTGTTTTAGAATATATAATTAAACTACTGATGCCAACATTTATTAAAAATTTAATTTAACTTAAAATACAATTATTTATTTGTTAAATATTGTCGCATCGTCTTTCCACCAAATTACAGAAAAGTATCGATAAAAGTATCGATATCAATAAATATTAACGATCCCCATCCCTAAGCGAGACCATTCATGTTTCTAATAAACCTAATTTATCCAGAATGTATTCATTATTCAGTTTCTATCCAGCAGCAATTGGCCTCATCAACAAGGCCAGTGACCCCCACCTATTCTTCTCCCACCCCCATCCACCTCACTAATATACACATTCAACTTTGCACATTTCAATTGTTCATTTGTACATTCAGATCTATATTTTTAAAGATTGTACTTTTTAGATTTATAATTTCTGTTCTATATTTTTATTTCTACATTTTATGTTCTTCCTTGCTTCTCATAGAAGTGTTGTGCACCAAACACCAAGGCAAATTCCTTGTAAGTGAGAAACCTACTTGGAAATAAACCTTATTCTGATTCTGATTCTGATTCATTAAGGACACGGAAGGTTTAGCCAGAAGAAAAGCTAACAAGCTAACACCAGGAAGAAGGATAGCGGTGCAAAAACCGGACGGTATTTTTGTCTAAACCTATAAGTAGTGGTTCCATAACGATATATGCGAAACAATGTGAGCCTAAAAGACAAATATGCAACGTTATAGCCAATATTTATCAATGACTGTACTTACTAGACCGGTCCATGTCTTGCATTCTAATGCAGCGTCACCAAAAAGACGGAGTACTTCCGGTGTCACACCAGGGTTCACTTCCGGTTTACGCTGTCAAGGGGCGTGTGCTACTTAAATGATCCCGGATGAGTAGCTATACAAACATTTATCTTTAGCTTTTGAAATGATTCTACTTTATGTAAACTCGCACATAATGTAATTTTAATAATTAAAATATATATACATCATAACGTTAATTGTAAACAGGACCAGGTCAGAGTCCACATTCATTTGGTCATTTAATTGACAAGTTTAGAAATTTGAAATTTTCCAAGTTGAAATGAAAGAAGTTTGGACACATTAAAAAAATACAGAAAGCACATCTTTCATATAGATATATTAGCACATTTTTTCATTGATAAGTTATCAATCAAAAATCCTTTTTTAATTTCCATTTGGATGTTTTTCTTTTTCAGATGACAACTTCTGCTTTTCTCTTTTCTAACAGCTTTTGTACTTTAAGCTAACTGAACTGTCAAAGATTCCTTGACAATATTTGAATTAATTTTAATATGTGCTGTGATGGTCACAGACACTCTGGGCCAAAAAGCAACCTTAACCCTTCTTTCCAAATCTTGTCACCTCGTTCAATAATGAACAAGAATAGGAAAAAAAAACTGGGAACTGGTTAAATACTTGTCTCTGATTTTTATTTTCTTGAAATCACAAAATCCTTGGCTTTTTTCCAAGATTCATAAATCATTTGTTCCCATCAGATATTGCATTAAGATACATTCCTTGGGGCCATCCTTTTTAGCCTCCTAACTTTTTAACGATTCTTGAGTTGATGTGTGTAAATCAAAGACTAAATTATGTTTGATACATAGATTTCTTTTAAAAAAATACTATTAAACATGGTAATGTTTTAAATAAAAAACATGAGAAAAACAATGTTATGATACAAAAAATTAAATGCATTGGGAATGATCTTTTTATCAGTTATTGCATTTCATTAAGTCAAACAAAAAGAGAATTTTCTGTCCATTAATCTTTTTGCCTTTTGGCATTTACTGGTTCAAGAACCATTGAAAAGTGTGTATAAGACGCTAGTTCCTTGTCCAGAAGTGGGACATTTTCTTCAACACTTGGGGGACTTGTTAATTTTTCATATTTTTGACTAATACGTCTATCAAAATGATCAGGTTTGAGGTGTGAACAAGTGAAAAGCAGCAACTCTCCAGTAATAAAAACTCTCAGAAAGCCTGGATAAGTATTAATCAGATCCACCGTAAAACATTACAAGAAAAGTCTAATCCCAAGGAAAAATATAGATAAAAGCTGTGGTCATAATGTGAGACGCAGTATGATTATTATTATTGTTTTTATTCAATGTCATTAAACTAGAGTCTACCCTTTTCTTTCATTTATTGTTTGGTACTTAACCGTATTTGTGAACCTCATCAAAACATCTTCCAACCCAAGTGAATATTCTACAGACGACACAGGTGGAACATTTC